TAGATATAGGTATTCGTTCACACAAATATACAAACATATACATGCTCGCGCACACATACATCGATATATCTTTATCGTGTTAACGTCAGGTCGCTTGGATAACAAATAAAGAGAAGCAGCTAACGTATTTTATCGTCGGCACCGATGCCGTATTGGAGCCACGCAAAACGGGGTATGAGAAAGAAAAAAAGAAAGAAAGGAAAAAAAGATAGAGAAAAAGTGTCGTTGGAAAATCGAGAAAAAGATGAATGAGAGAGGAAAGAAGAGAAAGAGAGAAAGAAAGAGATATAAAAACTCTCGAAAGACTTTGCAAGCTTGCTTACCACCCGTGTTGGTCACGTAGGTGACCATTAAGTGACGTCACGAGTTTATCGTTATTTAAACTGAAATCTTTAACTATATATATATTTTTCTATATATATAGATATAGATACTAATGGATTAGGCTCAAGTTGCTTTTGGAGTTGAAGAAAGTTGTACCGTCTAAAATTTCACAAGTAAAACGAAACTCCGAGAAACCGTCCTTTACGTGCTCATTATAGGCTTCCACAGTGCTACAAAGGATTCCGTCGTCTTCTTATGTAACAACAGCCCTACCTTCGTCGTTCCATGGATTCCAGAACAGTAAGAGTGAGAAAGAAAAAGTGTGGGTATTTTTGCTCTTGTACATATAAAGATATATATGTATGTCTATGTGTGGGTGCATATATATGTGTGAGTGTGAGAGAGATGTAAACGAGAACACCCGACACACTTTGATCTCTTTCTTTTTTTTTTCCCCCCCTTTCGTAGAATTGAGTACGAGTACTTTGAATTCGTTTGCAAGCTCCGATCGCAAATTTCACGTAGGTACCTAATTCGTTTGTTCATCGTTCCCTTTTTTTTTGTCTTTGTATTATTCTATTCATGATTGTACGCTGTAAAAAAAAAAAAAAAAAATTGATATAAAACGATCGATTGGAATAATTTAAAATTGCAAAAATAATATATCAAAGAAAAATCTTCCATATTCATAATATTATTCTTTCGTTTTTGCGGTATATAAATTCATATTATTTATTAATTTTTCATTCATTAAGATCATAATGGTACGATTAAAAAAGAATTTTTCTTTTTTCCATAGTGTACATGGTATAAAATTTGTTTAATAAAAAATCGTTAAACCGTTAAAATTAATACATTATTTTGTATTTTATATTGTTTATGTTCAACGATTTACTCACATTTCAATTTTTCACGTATTCATACACGTGCCACGAATTCAATCCTAACACGGAAGAAGAGCCTCGAACGATTACACCACCTTTTAATGGTCACGCTCTACTTGTAATTATTGACGAAAAGTTTCATCCGCAGTCTGGAAACGAAGGATCCTTTTTGTTTTAGCCAGGTTTATTCTTTCGATTTTCATGCCTGTCACGTCGCTCAGCCTTCGAGGCAACGAGTATAGCCCCAATACGGCTTTTAATTCTGTATTTGGTGCATCCATTCGAAGTGTTAGGAGAGTATAATCGGTAAACTTTAACGAATTTTTATTAATGGATCTCTTCCTACAAATTTATAGTAACTAAATTTTCGAATTCATTCTTATTTTCAAACCCTTTTCCTCTTTAATGATTTATTTTTAAGGCAAATATATCTGTTTAGAATTTTTAATACATAATTGTAATATTATTTGATAATTTCTTTTAAATACTTTCGTCATACAAAGTGTGAGAATGCAAAACAAAAGCTTGAATTATATTTTTATACATTTAAAAAATTTTTTATTGTCATAAATATATATTTTTTTTGTATTATGTTAACAATTTAAAAATATTTTTCTATAGAATTTTCTAACGTGTTCATACAATTTAATTAAGTATGATTAAAAAACAGTTTTGGAAGATAACATTTCGTCAAGTTACTTTTGTTAGATATCATTGCCATGCACGTATAGAAACCTGTTAAAACACTTTAAATACTTGTTGAACGTAGCTCGACAAAGTCAATTTTGAAAGGAAGAGAATTCATCCGATTTAGACTCGTCAATTTCACTCGAATGAATTTTCATAAGATTAAAGAAAGTATTATATTTCTACATATTTTGAAATCCAATTATTTGTATTCAAAGAAAAATGATATGTTGTGATTTTTTTTTTTTTTTTAAAGAGATTTTAGTTGAAAGAGTTCTACTATTGGTTTTATCATTGAACACTAAAATAGGATTAGATACACTCGAGTGAAATGGACGAGTCGAAGAAAGAGTCCATTTTCTCGATTTATGTATGCGTTAAGGGAAACAAGCTTATCGAAGATGAAACTCCTTTTGCGTATTTTCCTTCTTAAAGGGCACTCAAGACCGTAAAGTGTTCGGTTATCCGCATGTGAATCGACTTTTCTTTTCTTCTTCTTCTTCTTCTTTTTCTTATTTTCTTGCTATTTCTTGTCATTTCTTTCTATCTTTTTTGCTATTTCTTTCTATCTCTATCTACATTCATCTATATTTCTCTGTTTCCGTCCACGTGCTCCTTTCAACGTTTGTATCCACAATCGATACGCGAGATATCGTTCTATTAGAAAAGACGACGAAAATATTATTTCAATATTGCAAAATCAAAATTATTTGCGAACGATATTTATCTATCAATTTCTCAATGATGATATTAAAATAAAATCTCTGATAATTTGAATAATTAAAATTTCCATTGTTAGTTAGCAAATTGAACGAAATAATGAAATATGATTTTTCATTAAATTTTAACGAAGAATCGACTCGATTTTATATTTTTCATATTGAATAAACTAATAAAAAAAAGAAGATAATATTGTAGAATCACAGATATCTAACTATACACGAGAGATAAGTATAATATTGTATTCTTTTTTTGTTTGTTTTATTTTTCTTCTTGTTTTTCACGTGTATGAAATATGATTTAACTTTGAGATTAAGATAGGTCTTGAGAAATCGCTTTTTATCGGCTGAAATTTGGTATCTTGTTTCGTGTCAGGTAAGAGATTTATCGTTGTCGTAAATGTCATATATGTGCTTAAGACAAATTCGAGATAACTGTAAGACACAAGATAGTGTAGCAACTATAATACCAGTTTCGATCATATTTTGCAATACTTGTTAGTATCTGTTCATCTATTTGAATTTAAATGACTGTTAAAAAAGCGTCCTACGCTATATCACAAATTTTAACTTTATAAAATTGAAACGAGTGAAACAACTGAAAAAAATCAATGAAACATTTGCTATGAATTTTTATATTTTCATGAAATAACAATTTTGTAATTAATCATATCATATTTTTATACGTGTATGTATGTATAAAATATTACAAGAGAATTTGTAACATAGTGAAACATGAAAAACGTTATATAATATGTACATACGTACAACTTTTGTAATTTTAACATTTCAGTAAAAAAACTACGCACACGGCACGTATCCGTGCGTTTTTTTCATCATTTATTCATTACCTGTTTTTACTCGAAACATGAAAACAAGGAAAGAGAGAGAGAGAGATGGAGAATATAAAGTCTTTTTCTCTTTCAAGCGTGTGGTAACATGCGGCAATAATTGTTCAAGATCCACAACGGACAAACATTATATATTGAAAGCACCTGTACCTTCGTTCGATGGTATTGTCGAGTAGCAAAGGGGTTGGAATCGAAAGTCGAGGGGTTTGGAAAGGGACCGAGTGCACTTTCGCGATGATGCACCCCCTATGGTTTCGCTCGAGACAGCCGGTCGTCCTCCCTTGCTCCATTGTGTCGCTTAAAATATTGACACTCGATATTTTGCAGAGCGTTCGGTGTTACCACGAGAAAAAAAGTAGAGTTAGGTGAACGAGAGAGAGAGAGAGAGAGAGAGAGAGAGAGAAAATATACAGGAAGATGAACATTTACATGTATACGCTTCTCATAATGGACATGTCACCCCGACTTCACCTTCCCTTTTTCTTTTTTCTTCTATTTCTTTCTGTCTTTTCTGCTTTTTTCTTCTTTTTTTTTTATACACTTTCCTTTCTCTCTTTCTCTCTTTCTCGTTCTCTTCCATCTTTCTCCTTTTTTCTCCAACGTCGATTATAATTTCTCTTTCGTAACTTCCCGCACTACGTTTTTCTTCCCTTCGTAATCCGTGTGCTTTGCTTGCGTCATTTCAAAGAATGGATTTTCCTCTCTCACGTCGTTCTTATTTCAGTCAAAAAGGTACACGAAGGGTTACGAATGAGAGAGTATGTGATATTAATCCTTTGAGTAGTGAGTTTTCATAATACCTTTGAGGCCGAACTTGTCGAAATACACACCGTAACGTAGATGAGTCTTTTCTTCTTTTTTTATTTCTTCTAACAATTGTTTCTTTTGTTAGTAGTCAATATGTGGATTTGTAGATATATTCACAGGTAGGTAGAGAAACTAACTTTAAGAAAATGACATTGAACTATGGGAGTGATATTAATAATATTATGATATACATATATATGTATATTTGAAGCAAGCGAATAAGTAAATAGTAATCTGTCAAAATAGTATGATTAAACATACATTAACGGCAGTACTACTGCTTCTGCGCAAAATTTCAAATTTATGTGTAGATATACGTACACGTTCCTACTGCAGCAAGCCGGTTAAAGGTATGACGTAAATGTACGTTCTGCTGCTCAAGGGGTTAATTATTGCAGGAGGATGTTCTACCCTTGCAATACTATACGACCAGTGTGATGCGAGCAATTCTAATTATTATTTTATACGTGTTTGAGATGTTTGACAAATTTCTAATTGGAAACAATAGAAGCTGTCTTCTCTTACGTTTATCTTCTTAGTATCATGTAATACGAGTGAATAAAATCTTAAAATAATTCAAACGATAAACAAGACTATGAAAATATTCTTTAAAAAAGTTTCAAACAAATAATATGACTCAAATATACGTCACACGTACCTTTTACGAGCATATCTATATAACTACCTCCGGTACTAAGTTACTACTACCCACCGACTGTAAAACTCACCGTTTTGTTGCCCAAGTTTTTTACACGACAATTGAGGTACGTCGTCTTTCCTAGAAGCGCCGTCACGTTCTTGGAGGCCGACTTGTCGAAATACGGGCCAGGACGTGATAAGTCTTCTAAACTGTTTTGCTGGTAGCTGCTATCGCCACCGTTTTTCCCACTACTACCATGCAACATACTCTGACAATGAACAC